GTAAAGGAAACACTTCATGATTTCAATCTAGACAACTTTTTTTATAAATCCCTGAAAACACAGGAAACTAAAGTGAAAGTAGGCAAATGGGTTTATATTAAATTATGAGCCTCTGCCTAGGAAAGGGAACAATCAACAGAGTGAAGAGATAACTTACAGTAGGCAAATATTTTTGCAAGCTATTTATCTCACATAGGATTAATATTCAGAATATATAAGAAACTTAAAATACTAAATAACAAAAATCAAACAATTTAGGATCACTGCAAGTTCAAGTCCAGCCTGAGCTACATGGTGAGTTCAAGACCAGTCTGAACTACATAGGAAGATCCTGTCTCAAAAAAATAAAAAAGGAGGAAAAAAGGACAAAGGATCTGAATAGATACTTTTCAAAAGAAGAAATTCAATTCATGTGGCCAAGAAATTTATGAAAAAATTTCCAACTTTGTTATCTTTAACTTCACTGGGGAGAGGCAAGTTGCAATCAGTGAGGTATCGTCTCACCCCAATTAGAATGGCTTTTCTCAAAAAGTCAAAAAAATAACAAGTGCTGGTAAGGATACAGAGAAAAGGAAATTCTCATACACTAACATAAATTAATGGAGAATGGTATAGAAGTTCCCAGAAATTCTAAAACTAAACCCACCATATGATCCAACTATCCAACTTTGGAGTATATATCCAAAGGAAATGATATCAAAAAAGACATTTGCATGCCCATATTTGTTGCTGCAACAGCTAAGATGTGGCATCAACCAAGATACCCAGCAGTGGCTAAAGAAAATGTGGTTTATACTCAATGAAATATTATTCAGCCTCAAAAAAGAATGACAGTCTAACATTTGCAAAAAATTGGTGACACTGGAAGACGTTATGTTAAGCAAAGTAAGTCAGATGCAGAAAGACAAACTCTGCATAGTCTTTCTCATAGGTAAATGTAAAAACAAATGTCAGTTGAAAAGTGTAATAGTGATTGCAAGGAGCTGGGAAGGGTGAGCAGAGAGGATAGTAGGAGGTTAGATAACCCATCACTAAACTCAGATAACAATAAGTCCTGGTATAAGTTCTGTGGCACAGTGTGGGGACTAAAGTTCATGATAACCTACCTATTATGTATTTATGAATAACCAGAAAAGTGGTGCTAAAAGACTCCAAACACAAGTTAATGATAAGGTGATAGAAATGTTAATTGCTCTGATTTGCTGAGTACATATGTTATACTCGTATTGAAATTTTGCATGGTACCCTTACAAACATGTACAATTATTATGTGTTAAATGAAGGATATAGAGATGTTAACTACCTTGATTTGATCATTCCACACTGTATAGATGAATACAATTATCAGATTATATCCTAAAAAGTTGTATGATTAAATAAAATTTAAAAAGAAAGAAAGAGCATAGGACTGTACTCAGTATCCAGTTCTCATCCATGTGCTGAAATCTCCTGTTTTTCACATTCTGACTTCTATCCTGACTGTACCTGCTATCCACCAGCACACTGTTGTTATATTCTCTCAAAATACAAATCTCTAGTCCATTGCCAGGTGAAGGAAAGGCAGTCAATAAACTAACCTGAGTTAGTAAGAGGATCTGATGACTTCTTAAATAGAGTTTTCAACCAATCATCATTAATTTAGCTCCTTCCCTTCAAACTACCTTCTAGAATGCTTGATTTCCTCAGTTACTGAGTTTTTGGCAGTTTTGGTATAAATTGTGTTTGCTGTTAGATTTCCCTCTTGCTTGTTTGGGGTTCAGTTTTCTCAAGCTTCAGAAGTATTTTACTCATTGTCCAAGTGATCTGTACCTTTCAGAATTTTGTTATTGTGTACTCCTCTCTCATCTTCCCCAGCTCTAGAGGTTTTTCCTTTTCAAATGTGATTATTATTCTCTTTGTGAGATTTTGGAGAAGTAGAAGTAGCTGTAGGTGGCCAAACTACTATCTTTATGTAATCCTCTTTGCTTTTTATCCACCTGAATTAATAATACACATTCAGAGCAGCAAATTTCAGAGCTACTTTATTTCTGAAGATATCTTTGTTTAGTTCTCACACTTGAGTGATAACAATGCCACAAGTAGCATTTTTTGCTCAAAAATTATTTTTCTTATTACTTTAGAGATAAGCTCCATTTTTTTCTTGAAACAAGTGGTGCTAGTGATAAATATGCCCTTCTCCTCATTCCTTTGTAGGTAATCTTAAAAATCTGTGTAAATTACTATGGATTTCTTTATTCCTTGTGTTCTGAATTTTTTCCTTACTTTCACCTTCTGAAATTGATGTTAAATATACATTGAAACTTTGCAATCTACTCCCCAGATCTCTTAATGTTTCCTGCAATTTAGGGATACATCGTCATCTTGGATGTTTCAGCTCACTCCTTGGTTCCACACTGTGTCTACTCTACCTTTCTTTAACATCACCTTTTTACTTAAGCATCCCGATTGGTACTAAGTACTCATGCCGCCACAGATCCTCTCTTATCTTGTTGATATTTTCAAGTCATCACCATATGTTAATTTCTCTTGAAAAGACACATTTCTCTTTATTGTCTGTCATAAAATGCCCTTCTTCCATGCTGATGTGAAGGTAACAATGAAGGGCAGATGTTCTAGCAGCTAGTTCATGGTGAGCTGATACATCTTTCCTTTTTATATCACCAGATACAAGGTGCTGCTCTTTCTCTTTGGATTCATCTTTCAGTGGCCCCTGAGTGTAGGACAGGTAGAGGAGGTGGGGAGAGGCTAGGCTGTACCACCCAATACCCTCTGACCTGCTGGCTTCTGCTTTTCACATCCACTATCACAGAGCTCAAGACCCCGTGGACCCACTCGCACCTCCCACACCAGTCCTCTCCTGGTGAGCTGGGCTTGGTGTCCTTGTTCTGTCCAATCCCACCTCCACTGCTCTTTGGAGATATTCTTCTTAACTTCTGGTGCACTGATGGCTCCCTTTCTCACTTCACTGTACTCCTTCCCATTTTTAAAATAATTTTTAAAATAAAATTTTCTACAGTTTCTATGGATCTGTTGTAGAAGTATAAGCCTGCAGATTTTCTCATTCTGTTGTCTTTTACCTATTCTGATATCTTTATTTAAAAATATTTTTCCCATTTTCTCTTCTACCCATTTCACTTTGGCCTCTATTGCAACACTCAAGCTGCCCTCCTTAAGGTTGCCAGTATATTCCACACTGGAATATATGGAATATACTGGAAAATGCCTCACATGAGCATTCTCACCTCTGCTCCCATCAAACTTTTAGCAGATCTTAACTGAATCAGCACTAGCTTTTTCTTCTCTCTCACCTCTTGTGACATTAGTGTCCTTCTGTCCTCTTATCTCACTGCTTGCTGTCTTTTCATCTCCTCTTCCAGTCACTTTATCCTATTTTGTCTGTTGAAATGCTTCAGGGCAGTTGCAAGATCTTTTTTCTCTTTTTCTTTGTGACTCCATCTGTTTAAATAGCTTTCAGTCCCATCTAGAATCCAATGTAATGATTCTAAAGGAAAAAGAGCACACACACACACAACATATTTGTGTGTATACATGTTTATATACATATATAATGGAAAGTTTATGATGAATTCATAAATAGCACTCCACATTAGAAAGTTGTCCATCCTCTTTGTATTCAGTCCCTAAATCCTGTCAATCTTAATACCATGCATCTTTTGAATTAGTTTTGTGGCTCTTCTACTTTTGTGTACCACTGCCTTGGTGCAATCCTTTCTCCTTGTGATGATAACTGGTTTCCTGGAGACAAAGACCAGAGATGGAGACTAGCAATTAGCATTCGTAACTTACCAGGGCTGCCTTTAGATCCATTCTTTGGGAGGCGGCAGCTGACTCATTTGGGAGGCAGCAGCTGACTCATTTGGGAGCTTTGCAGCTGGGATGGCTGTTTGGAATTATCAGATCCAGGCAGAGAATTCAGGGTCCCAGGCAGGGTGCACACCATGGGAAGGAAAGATACAGGGTTTTTGAGCCAGATAAAAATAACATTTCTGGCCTCCCATTGTGATATGCATCTGTAGTCCCATCTACTCAAGAGGCTGAGGCAGGAAGATCACAATTTGAGATCAGCTTTGGCAGCATAGTCAGACCCTATCTCAAAACAACACCAAAAATCCCAAACAAAAATGACATTTATTTCCCTTTTATTTATGTGACTTGGCAATGTAAGTTAACTTTGCTTTGCTTTTGTAACCCAAATGGTAACAATATGGGATCGATTTACTTCATGCCTAACATCTCATAGAAGCAGATGATTGAATTATTTGTCAAGCAGATGTCTGATTGTCCTCTGGAAAGTCCCACTCTAAACTTGTCTTCAAATTACAGATTCCTGCTTCATCTTGCCCTTCAAAAACCTTGCTCCTATCTTATCAGACAACCTTGGAGTACTTTTCTCTCTTTGCAGCCAATCTGCCCTAGAGTGAGGACACACGTATCTCTGAAGTTTAGATACATTATTTCCTGGTGGAGAACAGAAAGCACTAGTGCTGTGATGCCCTTGAATACCTCATGTCAACAGAACCACAGTATTACCACCAGCACTCAAAGATACTTACTCTCTCTCTCTCTCTCTCTCTCTCTCTCTCTCTC